AGGTGCTCATGCAAAACTTCATTTATCAATTGCATAAAACAGCTGGTACCCCCTATAGGCCAAATGGGAGTACTCGGAATTGGAAACCACCAAGTGGGCCGTTGAAAGCAGTTTTCCATTCATCTCCCTCTTTAATTTTGATTCTGTAATAGGCTTCTCTTAGGTCCAATTTCGTGAAAAACTCTCCTTTACCCAACTGGGCCAACATATCCTTCATTAAAGGTAGGGGGTAAACATTCTGTGTACACACAGCATTAAGCTTTTTGTAATTAACACAGAGACTAAAGGAGCCATCTTTCTTTTCTCTGAACAACACTGGAGCGGCCACTCGGGGCCTAGCAGATTCAATAAACCCCCTTTGCAAATTTTTGTCAATAAACTTCCGTAATTCATCCATTTCACGGGGGGGTCATCGAATAGATCTGGGGTTTTGGAAGTTTTACCTTGGGGAGGATATCAATCAGTGGCACGGTGTGAGGGTAATTTATCAGAGGATTTTTCACTGAAAACATCTCTTAGGTCCCAATATTCTTTTGGGATTTTCTCCTCCCCCTCAATTTTCTCTTGCCCCGTGGCTGCTAGGTTAGAGTCAGCATTATCATGTTTGGGAGCCCCCCCTCTCCCTCAGGGGGTGTAGCAGATTGGATGAGTAACCACCCTTTCCTCCAATTGATGTGTAGGTTCTATTTATGTAACCAGGGTAAGCCTAATATAAGAGGCCGTCCATTCCTGGTGCTACAATAAAACTTATTGTCTCTTGGTGAGTTCCCATCCACATGTCTATTGGCTCAGTAACAAAATGGGCAGGGCTCCCTCAGCTATTGAGCCGTCCAGCTGGCAAAAAGCAATTGGGACTTTTAAAGTTTTCAGTTTCAGGCCCAATTTTTCCACCACTTCGGGGCTAACAATGCAACGTGTGCAACCCGAATCTAAAAGGGCCAACATTTTTTCTTGCGCTCCAGTAGAGGGCACTTTAAGTTCAACTGGGATAGTCATGGGGCCCAATCGGGAATTTACCAGACGTTCATCGTCAGATTCAGTTTCACTTTCCTCCGATGAGGAGGGTGATTCCTCTTCTCCTGGAGCAGGGCGGAACTGTGGATTAGGTTCCACCCCTTTCATGGCGGTCTCCCTCCTCTTCCCAGGCAGTTTATCTGGCTTTCTCTTCCCCCGAGCAGAGGGCTTTGGGCTCATCTTGGTGCGGAAATTTGCTGCTCGGTGCCCCTCCTTCCTGCAACGGAAACAGATGATCGGCTTGGGCTTGCTTGCAGACCCACTTTCCCCTGGGGGGGGTGGGGTTGGGAGGGGTAGCCTTCTCTTTTTCACTATCTTCATGGTAATTGTCTCGGGCTAAATCAATCTCCACATCCGCATCATACCTGCAATCTGCGGGGGACCCCCTTTTTACACAGTTCTGGTATATGTCTTTGTTTAAACCATCCATGAACCCATCCATCAAAGCTTCTTCGGACCAACCCCGCGTGTAAACGGACAATTCACGAAATTCTTGTATATATTCAGCAACTGGCCTGTTCCCCTGGATAAGTGTTTTAAATTTAGTTCTTGCTTTTCGCTCTGTGAGCGGATCATCAAAACGTTTTCTCAGGGTGGCCATAAATCTATTATAGTCTCTCAGTAGGGGGGAGTCAGCATTATGCAGGGCCACCATCCAAGCAGCTGCCTTATTTTCCAATGCCTTGGCCTCCTCAGTTGGCAGATCATCTCCGAACTGTTGCATGCAATTCCATACTTGAACGAGGAAGAACCCTAAATCTTTAGATTCTCCCCCAAATTTCACACCAAGTGGGAACTTTAGCCATCCGGCATCTGCAGGGGGCCCCTCCCGCTCTTGGGATGTTTCTAGTGGCTGCTGCTGGGGTCGGGGCTGGGTCATTCTGATCAGTTCCACCTTCTGATCCGCCGGCTCCTCTCGGCAGAACAGGCCCTCTGCCGATCTCTCCTCTGTTTCTGGGAGATCTTCTTTTTCAGGACCACTCTCACATAAGCGTTGCCTTTCCCAAGCCTTTTCAAAGAGCTTCATGGCCTGGGACACCATAAGGTTCTCCTCATCTGCCTCCTGCCAAGCAGCTGCTGGTCGCCTCTGTCTCTTTGTGGTAATTCCAGCCAGAGTTTTCTCGGGGTCATACTTCTGTCCCACTCCCAATGTCCATCGGGGCGAATGGATCATTCTTCCAAGTGTAGTCCGGCCATTCACTCTGTTTCCAAAGGGCACGATGACGCAGCCGCTCCCATATCATCCTCCTGGTCACTGCCTTGGTGGGACATTCTTCAGGGTTTTGGGATTTTGTTGCACTCCCCTTGGAAGGTGTTAGCTCCGGGATGAGTGCGAAACTGAGATCTTGCTTAATGTCAAGGCGGCCTCCCTCAGTAACCAAGAAAGAAACCACTCAACTCCATTTTGCAGAATTAAGAGTACTTTTACTGGTCATGAGTAGATAGCAGCTAAGCAAAGCAAGATCTAAGGCAAAAGCGCGCGTAATCATAGATATCAATATGTGACCCAACCCCCTCCCCCTGTTAACCCTATCCCATGGTCCAATCCGCACATCCCTCAGGTGTCATGTGGGAGACATCTTCAAAAAGCATCATCAGGTTAGTATGCCGGACAGTTGGCCTTGGCGGCAAATCCTCTATCTGCAGCATGCGCAGTAGATGGTGAGAACAACTCCCTTTTTACAATCACTCCTATACCGAATACTTCCCCACCCAAATACCATGCCCCCCTCCCCATTTCAATGGCAGCTGAAAGCAAGCAGCAAAGCAGGCTGACATATTGTTACAAGAAAAAGCAAAAACTTTCCAAGGCAGTCCAAATTTGCCGTTTTATTCTTTTACTTAAAGGACTAATTTATCTTTTAAAAAAAGTTTCCTTGGGCAATTTTTCTCAGAATAAAAAAAAAACCTCACCCGAGGGACTCACTTTCACTTCCTTCCTTCCGGAGCCTTCTCCGACTTCGTCAGCCTGGGGACTACCTGTTTGCCGCCGGCTTGAAGCACTTCCCTTGGGTCAATCAAGGACTTTGCGATGTCCCTGAGACCAGCAAGGCTTTGTCTTCCTGTTCACCGTCTCTACACGACGGTTTAGGTCCCGCTGCACTGTCCAATGGCAAAAGTGTCAATGGCGGTCTTGGACTGTTGAGATTGCATGATGTGTTGTCGCGATGTTGGCTCCTCCTCTCATGATATCCCATTTTGTGGTGAACAGTATTTTTCTTGGCTCTTTTTTCAAATTTTGAGCTAATTTTTTTTCACTTCCAAATTGAACGATAATACACTACAAATGTGCCAAGAGGACTTTGTCACCCAAATTAAATTCAGAAATCACTGAAAGCCTAGGATCCTTGGTGGCCCTCATTACTTTGGGACAGCTTATCCCCAGACCTCCCCCACTATAGTAACTTTTCAGAGAGCCATAAAAATATGATTTTTCAGGCATTTGGACATGAGATCCTGTTATCTCCAAACAGTGATGCATAGGACTGATTGGTTTTAAAATTTTAATTACTTTTGTAAAATCTGATATGTTCAGACTTTCTGGATATGGAGCAGCATATATATTGCAGTAATAAGTACTGTTACTCCTGAGTCATTAGGATAAAAGTTGTTGCTGATTTTATTCATACACCAAAGCTTTAACTGTCTCTTCTCCAGATTCCTCAGCCATGGGCATGCTACCTTCATCAAAACTATTTTATTTCAATCATTACAATTCCTTGAAATGATGTAGTGAGAGATGTGTAGCAAATAGAGACCAGCATATTCTTGTTCTGTTTCTCTTCCTGAAGTCTCCTTTTTGTCAAGAGCTAATGTATTGACATATTAGTGATGGGTGTGTTATAATGCTTCCTTGTATCTTACTCAAAGGCTGGATCAAGACATTTGACAAATACTATGTTGACCAGACTCAGCACATTCTGAACAATATGGTGCTGAAACTGCAGGAAGACCCACGGCGGCGCTTCATTTGGTCCGAAATCTCTTTTTTCTCCAAATGGTGGGACAACATCAGCAGCCAAAAACAGACTGCAGTCCGCAGGTAACTGTGATTGGGTTGTGTCTGTGTGTGTGAGATTTATTTTCTGATTTTAGAATTTGGGAAACATAATTTTAGAAGGATCATATCAAGGTTTGGGAAAGAACTTGGTGCAGAAATGTGAGTGTTTCAGTCACATAGGTAATCCTGTGCAGATGTGTGCAGACGTACAAGAGGAACTAGACTGCAGCAAAAGATGCAGTTTGTTTTGCACAATAGAGTCCGTGAGCAAGAATATCTCCCTAAGTAACTTGAACATCATGCATTGTTTTGTGTTTCCTCTGTCATTTGCCAAAGCGGAAAAAAATTGCTCTCAGATTTCATTGAGGAATTTGGGAATTGGTTTTTCACCCACCTTTATACCAAGCTTATAAAAAATCAGTAGGATGTTAACTGTTAACCTACTGGATGTTAAACCTGGTGGAATGGAGACAGTTAGCAGGAAACAATTATTTAAGGTTTCAAAGATGGAGGAGAAATATAAGAGAATGATATAAAAGATTGCATAGGATAACAAGCTAGAAAATGCAAAGATAGACAGAGGCCTTCATTGAAATATATACAGGCAAAGAAATACTGGTAATGTTATGTAGGAAACACAGGGATGTTCTTAAGGCATCCGTGAGATGATATAGAATAACAGCTACGTAACATAAAAGCAGCATCACTTATTCACACACAAGATCTGGGTCAGCATCACTTATTCACACACAAGATCTGGGTTCCACAGTACATTACACTTATCACCAAATTAACTCATTTTTAATATCCTTGCCCTTTGCATATCTTTGTAACATAGGTCAGGCCTGTCCTTCTGTCCACAATGAGTTTATGCATGAGGAGAACTTTATTACAGACAAAAAGGAGTTTGGCAATGACAAGCAGATTCAGGGTTTCTGAGCACTTGGTAATCTAGCTTGAGGGTGGAAGGCAGGAGAGTCCAATTGGGACTTGGTCTCAAACAATCCATGCCACTTCCCCAATTACATCCTTCCCCTTGCCTCCTGCCATCACTTCCTCTGTCCACTACTGATCTGATCTTCACCTCTTTCTCAATACCCTGCCTCCTTTTATGATCCCTAATAAGCTCAGTTCCCCAGTAAACCTGCTTCTGGGGTCATCTCTAGGCCTCTCTTCATAACCAGAATGTCTCAGGTGTGCCTAACAGTTGCTTGTCAGTCATCTGGAGCTTCATGTACTCAATGAACAGCTACCAAGACTCACTATCCAATACTGTAAACCCTCTAAGCCAGTGGTTCTCAACCTGTGGGTCGGGACCCCTTTGGAGATCGAATGACTCTTTCACAGGGGTCGCCTAAGACCATTGAAAAACACATATTTTCAATGGTCTTAGGAACCGAGACACCAATTTTATGGTTGGGGGTCACCACAACATGAGGAACTGCATTAAAGAGTTGTGGTTGGGAATGTTGAGAACCACTAAGCCCTCACCCAGTTCCAAATTTTTCACTTCATCCCCCTGCAGTACTATTCCATATGTTATATCTGAACATTATGGATGAATCAGGCTATTGTGTTAAGCTGAAAGAGAGTTTCTGTGGCTTGGGTGTTATGTGAAAACTGCCATTGTGATGTGCTGTGTATTTTGTACTTAACCATGGTGCAATCTCAGAAATTCTGTTCCTGGATGTTGTTTTTTTTGTGGGATATTTTGACCAATTTGTAAAAGTTTGAATCAATCTTGAAGGATATCTAGATTGTTGCTGGAGTGGGCAGGAAAATGAAAATATTTTACTTTTCCTGTGTGCTGCTTGGAGAATCCAAGCATGGTTAAATTCTGTCTTTCTGCCCAATGGACTGGATTGAATTTTCTGGCCAGGCCTCCTTGTCTCCTCTAATATTCAGTTTTTCAATTCAGTCCAGCCCATTCAGACGCATCTTAAATAGTCTCCAAATAATTGTAGATTAGAATTTTATTTGGTGTTGAGTGTATTTTAAATTTCTTTTTTGGTTTGATAGTCTTGCTTTTGTTAGTGTGACTGTAGTGAGTTTGCCTTTTGTTTCTTTACCGCGCTCAACGGTTTGGGTTCGGCTGAGGCAGACAAAGCTCAACCACGTGCACTGGACTTTGCCCGGATGCTGGGAGCATGTCCTTAAGTGGATTTTCACCTCCGGGATTGTCTGCTTGTTTGGCGACCTGCGGGGCTAGCCGCTCTGCTCACTCGATCGTGCTGATTACCGTCTAGAGCCTTGCGGAGTCCGGAGCGGCTTTTCCTTATTGGAGCCAATTAGCATGTTCCTCACTGGGCACAGCCATTTTGGATCGTCTTCTTCCAGTGGCCATTTTGGGCGCCAAACTTCTCCTGCGCTCGGATTCCCGCTCTTGTCCATCAACGGTTCAGTGGCGGAGATTGTTGTTGCGAGCAGCGGAATCAGCGAGGCAACATTTCGGAGGTTTTTGGCAGCAGCCATCCTCCACAGAGCTCCTTAGCTGTAGGCCTTTGGTTTTTCGACCACCTTTCAACCCGGCTGTGTCGTGACCGTTTTTTGGTCCAGATCTCCCTCCCTTCCCTCAGGGAGTATGCGGACCTATTTGATTTTGAGTTAGAGTCAGAGGGAGAGGGTCCTTCTAACCCTCCCCTGGACAGGGGTTCAACTCACAGGCCCACTGTGGCAGGGACCTTCCCAGTGGAGGACCAGAGCCGGCTCTCTCAGCAGAGATGCGCGAGGTAATCGCCATGGTGATGTCCTAGGGCATCGCCAAGGGCCTGCAGCAGCGGGAGGGACAGTGTCCTGTTCCTCAACCTGAACAGCAAGCACCCTGGGCTCGCAAGGAGAAAGCTCATCCCATTAAGCCTTCTTCCCCTGCTCCTTCTGTGGCTACTGTGGAGGATGATGATCTGGGGTGTTAAATATTCATTAAATACTTTACATTCAGAACTTTGCAAAAGGGCCAGCAACAGCTCTGCTGCGCCCTGATTGGCTAGGACGCAGCAGAGGCTGTTGCTAGCCGCAATTCCTCCCTGATTGGCCGAGGTACTGCGTCAGCGGTTGCTGCCCAGTTCTCGGCCACCGATTGGTTGTTAAATAGTTACTTTTTATATAAATACCTTGGCGCGTGTTTGCCCAGTTGGAATCGCTGTCAGTTCGTTCTTCTGTTGAATAAACCTGTTGCTGTTTGTTAACCTGGCTCTCGCGTCGTTCCTGCTTCGAACTACAAAACTGGCGACGAGGGTGGGATACAGCGATTCCCGCAGAGCCTAGGTTGAAGCAAGAGAAGAATCTTAGCCAGCCGCACAAGCTGCGATCTCCCGCCGGCACGCGAACGCTGGTGGAAAGGATTTTTTTCTCTCTCTCTACTCCGTGCTATTTTTCTGCACCCTACGTGCCACCATGGCATCAGCACTCCCTCCATTTGCTCAGGTGGAGAAACTTGGGAAGGGTTCATGGAGCGCTTTGAGTGCTACCTCATTGCGTCCAAGAACCATGGCCAGCCAGAAGAGGAGAAGTGTAGTTTTTTTCTTTCCTGCTATGGGCCCGCGATGTTCGCGTCAGCCAGAGCCCTGGCCGCCCCGTGGCCCGCGTACAAACTGGGGTGGGACAATCTAATGGCTAAACTTAAATGGTGTACGCCCCTACACCATCTAAAATTGCACGCCGATTCGCCTTCCGCCGCCGCGTACAGAAACCCTACGAGTCCATCAGCCAGTTCCTGGAATCGCTTCGCACAACAGCAGCGCAGTGCAATTTCCAAAACCTGGAAGAGAACCTTGTAGAGCAATTCGTATGCGGCGTGCACTAATTGCAGATAATGCCACTGCATCATAATATAATTTTAAGTTAGGTAGTTTCAATCCTCCTCTTTCACGTACATCTTGCATTATTTTCATCTTTACCCTCAGCTTCTTTCCTGCCCATACAAATTTGTTGATACCCTTCTGCCATTCTAAAAGATTCACATCTCTTTTA